CTGCTTATAGAAGTTGATATATTCGAGAAAAAATCTAACATCCCTAACATTCCTGGGAATTAGCTAGTTCTTAACAGCTTTCATCTTATCTTTCTGTAGCTTAATGCATTCTAGCTTAATCGTAAATCCGAAGTAGTTAACCTTTTGTATATAAAAGTAACTCTTTGCGGGTTTTACAAGGAGTTTCGCATTCTGAAGCATTTGCAATACTATCTCCACATATTTTTTGTATTCTTTCAGCATTCGAAAGAAAATAAGAATATTATTGAGATATGCAATGATAAACTGATCTAAGTGCTTGTATAGAATATAATTGATTATTTTCTGAAATGAAGCTGAAGTATTTGTTAAACTGAAGAGCATAATTAAATATTCGTAGTATTCATAGCATGTTCTGAAAGCAGTTTTCTATTCTTCTTCTTTCTTTACTCTAATCAGATTATAAGCTCTCTTTAGATTCAAAACTGTAAACTACTATACTTCTTACAGTTTATTTCGTAATTTCTTGATAAGTAGCAACGAATATTAGTTCTTAATCGTGATATTGTTGAATTGCCTGTAATCAATGCATAGCCTGAGCTTGCTATTTTTCTTGAGTATGAACAGAATAGGGTATCCTGCTAGTAATTGCAATGATTATATGTATTCCTTCTTGAGATTTTCGTTAAGATATTCCCTGAGTGTCTCTAGCTATACTTTATCTAGTCTGTAGATAAGGAAGAATCTGGATTATTTCTCTTCTTATAGTGGGATCTCGTAGTTGTATAAGCTGTATTCTGGTAATTTTATATTCAATTCTTCCTGAAATAGTTTCTTGAATCTGTAGTATTTTCATAGTATACTTGCAAGTGTTGGTTCTGGTTTATGTACTGTTTCTGCTATCTGAAGGAATAGTAGGTACTGCTGAGCGTGCTTCTTTTCTAATAGCGTTTTTGAGAGCCTTAAGCGTTCGCTCCGGGCCGGACCGAGCGCTCGAGGGCCTGGTTTCGAGGTTTTTCCTGTGTGGGTTCATAATCCACATTCTGAAGCTTTTTCTTATTGCTCTGGAGCGGACTAACTTGCTGAGAGTCTTGCTTCCGTTGTTTTGCTAACCTGTTAGCGCTCTAGCATTGTTTGGGTTCGCTTGTTACTAGATTCTTCTTCTTGAACTGCTAGCCCTGCTGACTTGGAAATATGTGTGAAGTTGTATAAAGCTTCTTTTTCTGAGTATTTTTCAATTACTAGCTTCGATCCTGCGTTGTTGATTATAACTATCTTCCTGGGTACAGCTTGTTCTCATGAAATCTGGCTAGTAGTCCAATTGATTCGAGGATTGTGCTTCTTAAGCTATGGGAGTCTCATGATTAGCTCATGCTGTGCTGTATTCATGATGTTAAAAGAAATCTTAGCTATATGCTCTTGGATTAAGATAGGTAGGTGATCAGTCTTCTTGTTAATTACTCCTTGGTTGTATGCAACAGATTGTTCTTCTATAGTGCTGAGGATGTAGGAATGCTTCTTTCATTTCCATTGTAGTTGTGCTTGATTAATAATATGTGGGAATATAAAGTTTCTCTGAGCGCCACTGTTCAATAGTGCGCTGTATTTGTGTTCTTGAATGTATATATCGAACTTGATATGAGCGTAATCTATTCTGAAAGCTTTATATAGGAACTGCTCTGGTCTGATTATCTGTAGTTTCTTTATAAGCAATCCTGTTCTTTTGAGATTGTTGAGAGCTGCTTATTCTTTCTTCGAGCCTGCTTCGCAGCTTCTTAAGCAAGCTTCTTAGCTTGCTTTTGCTCATATCATCATTATTTCTAATCTTTTTTCTGTTAATACTAGTTGCAGATCTTGTTATTAATATAAATCATGCAGAATATCGTCTTGCACTGCTATCATTTTATCTTCTTATCTATACATTGCATAGAACAGTTATCTGGTAGTTCGATGTATGCATTGTAGTGCTGTCTGTTAAGAACTTCTCTGAAGCGAAGCTCTAGCTTCTTAACAGCTTGAAGGATTTATCCTGGTTCTCTGACGGAGAACCATTCGTATTATACCTTCTCCGAGAAATGCGTTCTGCAGCTGTGATAGATGCAGGAAATTCATATTAGTTCGTGGTATAGGTTGTGAAGTAAGCTGATTCAAGAGTCTTCGCCTTGTTATACTTCGATATCTTGTAAGGGAATGCAGGTAAAGAGTTTCTCTAGCTCTATTCTATAGATGAGATATTCAATTCATATTGTTTCTTTGTTTCATTCAATGCTGAAGGAAAATCTTTCTTTAGGCTTGTTGGGTACGTTGTTCGCGGGGAGCCTCTGCAGGCTGCTAAGTTGTTTGCTCTGGCTTAATCCTTTTGTTGCTTGGAAAGCGTTCTCGATGTTGTTTAGATGTTCGTATCAGTAGCTAAGAGAGTACCATCTCTTATCTATATCCCTGGTTATAGTGCTTGGTGTAAGCGATAAAGAATGTTAAAGAGTATCGTTGCTAAGCGCTTCTTCCAACCCCTGAATGCTCTGTTCCGCGATATCAGAGCAGTTCGAGTTGCTACTCGTGAGGATGCTGAGCGTGCCCTCTCGCCCTGCTGTTGCTATTTATCTGCAGCGCCTAGATTTCTGAGAGAACTATCCTGAACCTTTCTTACTCGAGAAGTGAGTTAAGCAGTTGTTATTATAGCAGAATGTTCAGCTGAAACTTCCATAATTAACAGAGTTCAATACTTGCTTTAAGAGGATGTTTTTGCTTAGTTGATTGGGTTTCTATTGCTGAGCAATGTTTATCTGGCATTCTTTCTGAACTAGCTGCTATTTGTTTCTCCGGAGTTGATAGCAGTTGCATGCAATGTATTTCTATTTATTATAATTGTAGCAAGTAATGCTGTTCTTCTTGCTATACTGCCTGTTAGCTATATCGAGCTCTATAGGATCAGCGTATGTAGTGCTGCTCTAGGCTGTACTGCTATATTAACTGCTATTTTTGTTTTGAAGTTTCTTGCTTATGTTAGCTGGAAATCTTCAAGTCTAGCTTCTTCCTTTCTTAGATTTTTCCATTCGTTGTTCGTATAAACAGTTATTAATACAGATTACTTGATTAGAGAATATTGCAAAGTTCTCTAGCTAATTCTATTTAAAGATTTCATTCTTAATATCATCCTTAAGTTCCTTATAATAATACTTTATAAGATTCTTATTCTTCTACAAAAGTCTTGCTGAGAGCTGTTTGAATCTAACTATATAAGCAGAAGCTAACTTAGTCTACTTAAGATTCATAAGCTGCTGAGCTATAGTGCATTTCTTATTGGGATTACTAAAGATTTTCTTAAGAGCTTTCTTAAAGCTTTCAAAGAAATCGAATATATTCTTAGTATTCTGAGTATGCACATCGAGATTATTCTGATGCTCCAAGTAGTTGCATAGAAAAGGCTTGTATTAGATAAGAGCATTCTTTTCGAAGCGAATCCCTGCAAGGATAACTTTCTCAGGTTTCATAATGAACTAAGTTGTATAGTATAAGAAGTATGCTCTGCAGTGAGTAAGGAATTCATGCAGCATCTTCTGGTTGCTATCATACATAGCGAGCTTATTCATCTTGTATGCCTTTCCAGCGCTACTGGTAACTACAGAGGTAAACTGCGCCTGCTAAGCCTGCTGAGCCAGCTGAGCCTGTTGATTAGCAATGATAGCGCTCTAAGCCTGCTGTTGTTTGCACAGATCCTGGATATGCTGGGTAAGCTAGTATACCTGATTAATTAGTTCTTCCTGAGTAGGAATGCACAAGAACGAAGGGATTCCTGAAGAAGCTATTGTATTCCGTATTGCTCAAGGGATAACACTGAACTGTTCTTGAATAAGAGTTGTCAAAATGTAATAAGCACTGCAGCAATCCGAAGATTCCCAAGTATACAAAGGGGTTTATGCTAATAAGAGCGGTATCAAAGTACTAAGTTCTTGAATACGGAACTGTACAAGTCTTAATAAGCGATGCAAGTGTTCACTGCCTTTGGGGCTATCAGAGTAAGAGAGTAATCTGATACTTAGATTGACAACTGAAGAGCTATATCCTGAATCTATCTAATGGTAATGATCGTGTTCTTATATATTCAGCTCTTTAGTATGAATATGTTGGATAGCAACATATTCAAGTTATCTTGCTAGCTTTGGATAGCACATATCCGAAGCTATCCTTCCTGATTGGCCGTGCCCATAACCCTAACCCTGGGTTACGTAATCAATGCTTTTGTCAGAACATTGGATTCTTGACACCTGGTCCTTGTTACTCGTAACCTGTTTTGTAACCTGCATGTTGAATGAGTTATAACATTTAGTAATATTGAAGCAGTTTGAATTATTGCTGCTTGTAGTTATGCTAGATGCATATACTCGCTCTTCTATTGCTATCTGTCTATAGCATTTAGATTTCTGAGAAAACTATTCTAAGCTTTTCTTACTCGAGAAATGTATTAAGCAGTTATTATTATAGCAGAATATTCAGCTGAGATTTCCATAATCAATAGAGTTTGATATTTGCTTCAAGAGAATATTTTTGCTTAGTTGATTAAGTTTCTATTGCTAAGTAATATTCATCTAGTATTCTTTCTGAACTAGTTGCTATTTGTTCTTTCGGAATTAATAGCAATTGTATGCTATGTATTTCTATTTATTGCAATTATAGCAAGTAATGCTATTCTTCTTGCTGTATTGCTTATTAGCTGTATTAAGTTTTATAAGATTAGTATATATAGTGCTGCTTTGAGCTATACTGCTCTGTTGATCGCTATTCTTATATTAAAGTTTCTTGCTTGTATTAGCTGGAAATCTTCAAGTCTAGCTTTCTCCCTTCTTAAACTTCTCTACCTATTGTTCGTATAGATAGTTATCAATGCAGATTGCTTAATTAGAAAATATTATAAAGTTCTCTAGCTAATTCTGCTTAGAGATTTCATTCTTAATATTATTCTTAAGTTCTTTGTAATAGTATTTCATAAGATTCTTATTTTCTTATAGAAGTCTTGCTAAGAGCTATTTGAATCTAATTATATAAGCAGAAGCTAACTTAGTTTGCTTGAGATTTAAGAGCTGCTGAGCTGTAATGCATTCTTTATTAGGATTGCTGAAGATTTTCTTAAGAGCTTTTTCGAAGTTTGCAAAGAAATCAAATTTATTCTTGATACTCTGGATATATATATTGGGATTATTCTGATGCTTTAAGTAATTATATAGAAAGAGCTTGTATTAGATAAGAGCATTCTTTTCAAAACAAATCTCTGCAAGAATAATCTTCTTAGATTCTTTAGTAAACTAAGCTATATAGTGCAAAAAGTATGCTTTGCAGTAAATAAGAAATTCATACAGTATCTTTTGATTGCTATTATATATAGCAGATTTATTCATCTTATATATCTTTCTAGCATCACTGGTAATTGCAGAGATAGATTGTGCTTATTGAGCTTGTTAAGCTAGCTGAGCTTATTAATTAGCGATGAACCAGAACTAGGGCGCCGTCGCCCTCGAAAGAAAAAGGGACAAACAGCTGCTGAAGCAATGGGCAAGGGCTCGTGCAACCCAAGCATGCCTGTACAGATAAGGACAGCAAACTAAGGCCACACGGGCACAAGAACAGGGTGAAAAACCTGTCTTAGACCTGTCCAAAGGGTTCAAAATTGAAAAGAAGAGAAAAGGATACTTCCTTGTTGCTTATAGCTAAAGAATTTGAAAAGTGGGTGGTATTCTTTATATGTATGAGGACTCTTGATCCACTGTATTCCACGTCCTATGGACTACTACTCTGGCCACTACAACAGTCCTTCCCCAGCAACTTTCTTCCAAAGTTGCGATAAGTCTAATGGTATACTAGATCTGATTAGAGGAAGATGAAGTAAAGAAATAAAGAATTTATTGCAAACTGCTAAAGGAAATACTGCAAATCAAACTATTCTTCTAATTCAACTCTCATACTTCTTCCTATTGCTTGAGCTATTATTTAAATCAATACAGGAGTATTAGTATTCATCTTCAGTTTATTTGTAATATAAGCACGATCTGAATAGATTCTAATGCTAATTTCTTCTCTATTCCCGTCTGCTCTTAAACTCTGCTCGAATAGCAGTAGCAGCAGCAGTTCTCTTCTAATTCTGCATTCTTACTCAACGGATCCTTTTGCAGTCTGCTTTATATATATCTATCTTAATAGCATAATCAAATCCTATTCAGTTCGGAGAATCCACTGAGAGCTTGATAGAGTTAAAGCTATGAAGCTCATTCTATAGAAGCATATAAAGCTTCTGAAGTCTATTAGGAAAACTGAAAAGCATGATATTGCTGCTTTTCAATCTCTGATGCAATAAGGCTTTAGTAGCATATTCAGGCTTAGCTGTTTGCTGCATTGATAGATTGATTATTGGTTCTGAATTGATAAGCATTTCTCGAGATGAAGAGGAGTAAGGATTAATAGGAATTCCGGATAGGAATTAACTTAATTCTGAGCTAATACTACATTCTCTTAATAAATGCAAGATCAGGCTAGCTGGAGCTATGCTCTCTTGGAACTGTTATCTTGATGAAACTAAGCTAAATGCTCTACTCGCTCTGAAATCCTTCAGAGCAAAGGCTGATATATCTCTTCTTATCCTGTTGAGATTGCTTTTAATAGATAATTCAGGCAAGTCTGCAACTCTTCTTATAAAGAAGATAATATTCAGCTTGTAGATTATGTTTAGTATCCTACTAGCTTCTACTTATATAGCTTTGTATTCTTGAAGTGAGATACTTCTTCTTAATAGCTGATCAGGATATTGCATATATGTAATGAGCACTGCAGCAATCCGAAGATTCCTAAGTATACGAAGAGTTTATGCTAACAAGAGCGGTGCTAAGTATAGGCCTTGAATACGGAAACACAACTGTAGTAACTGTACAAGTGTTCACTGCCTTTGGGGCTATCAGAGTAAGAAAGTAATCTGATACTTAGATTGACAACTGAAGAGCTATGTACTGAATCTGTCTAATGGTAATGAACGTGTCCTTATATATCCAGCTCTTCAGTATGAATATGTCAGATAGCAACATATCCAAGCTATTCTGCTAGCTCTGAATAGCACATATCCGAAGCTATCCTTCCTGATTGGTCGTGCTGATAACCCTAACCCTGGATTATGTAATCACTGCTTTGTTAGAACGTTGGGTTCTTAACATCTGATTCTTATTGCGTGACCTGTTTTGTAACCTGCATGTTGGATGAATCATAACATTATCCCCCTTCTATCAGTTGTTGTTCCCAACAATCTTCTGTAAGTATTCTAGCAAGTCTTCCGTATGTATGATCTTGCCTTCCTAACCGAGATGTCGAACAGAGTCAACAAATCTCAGTCTCGTGCTGAAAAGACAAAACAAAAGGATTCTCTTCTTTCCTTAATCCTTACAAACGCTATTATCATGCCTTCCTGTTCTTTCTGCGAGAGTTGTGATATTCAGTTTTGTTAAGTCTCTGCTGAGGATTCCTCTCGTTGCGCTGAATGTATTCGCCTGGGTTGCTCCCGATGCGATGTTTAAGGGTTGAGTGCAGCGGAAATTCGTTGGATAGGCGTTCAATACCAGCGTCTGGAGGATCAACTCGAGAGTGCTGAGGAGCGGCTGCGTGATGCTGCTGCGGAGGTGGAATGTTTGCGGAAGCAGAAACGTTTGTAGTTTGAGAGGATGATGAAGGCTGTTCGCCGAGGCTTTTCCAGCGTGGAGGAGCTAGAGCATGAGGAGGCTGAGGAGGAGCGAGCTCGCATCGCTGCTGGGATTCGTTCCGTGATTGCAGAGAAGTCTGCTATTGTTGCTGAAGATTCTTCTTTTAGGGGTTTCGACTGGAATTCCGTGGATGTAAGGAATTCAGTGATAGATTGATCAGATTTCCTGGAGAGTGAGATTCCTGAAGCTTCTGGGTTTCGGTTCGGGGCGGAGCGATCATTCTAGGTGCTGGTTTCCTTCTTTTTCCAATACTCAGTTACTTTTTCCTGAGCATTCTTAACGTTTTTCCGTGGTTCCCATGAATTTTCGCTTGCTAAGTAATCTTTCTACTTGATAAGGTATTCCCTCGTATTGTCTGTGCTTCTATGCTTAAGAATTTTCTTTACTTTATACTCCAGTTCATTGTTTTCTACCTCCACTGTATTGTTCGTTAGTATTTCCCGTGCTGCTGATTTCAACAGTAAAACGTGGAAAACCGGGTATATCCTCATCCTATGAGGTAATACTAACTCGTAGTTAACTAGAGAAATCTATTGCAAGATTTTGAATAGTTCTAATTTCTTGTAATCAAGTTTGTTGCTTAGCCTGATTGTTTTGATGTTTTTCCGAAGTAGCTAAGCTTTATCTTCCTTCTATAGAATTGATTTCTCAATTCTTTTGGAATTTGCATACTGCATTATTCATTCTTGAATGAATTATAATTCTGATCGGAATTCTTCTTAAACTTTCTTAATCTTCTTAATTCTTTTTTCTGCAGCTTCTGCATCTACTTTCAGCAGTATCTTGTAATAAGCTGTTAGATTATATCTGTAGAATATAAAGAATGATAATTTCTTTATTATACTTGTATCTGCGCTATTATAAGCAAACTATGCAAGAGATAATAAATTAACTTAGTTATTCTGTTTCTGATTAATATAGTATTGAAGATATTATTCAATAATCTGATTTATTCTTTCTGTTTGTTTATTTGTTTGCAGATGAAATGCTATAGATATTCTGTAATATGTTTCAAGCTGTTTTATAAGTAAAGTTCAAAATTTTGAATTAAACTTTCTATTTCTATCGGAGATTACTTCTTCTAGCATGCTATGATTAGCAATAATCGTTCTAAGAAATGCATATATAAGTTCTTCTGCTATACTGCTTTCCTTATAAAAGAGAAAATAAGCATACTTGCTTAGTCTGCAAACTATTACTAGAATACTATTATATTACACTTTAATTAAGAGTTCTTATAAGAAAAATAGCTTAATAATAAAATCTAAACTAATGAATTGCTAAATAGTTGTAAATACTGATAAGGAATGCAGCAGTTTATAAAGCTTATATCTTTCTGCTCTATTCTTCTTGCAGCTATTGCATTGTTATAGGATGCTCTTAATTCTCTTTCTAAAGCCTGATAAATTCTAGTATCTTTTAATACATTCATAGATTGCTCTAACTCTCTGATATCCGTATACGGATATACCATGTATAACCTTGATATAGTTGTCTTGTTTGTTTAGAATCATTAATTCTGAATTCTTTTCTGAAGATTCAATTCTGAAGGCAGCGTTTAGTTCTCTATAAGCATTGATAAGATTTCCTGATTTGTTTTGAGCGAAGATATTCTGTATATCTAAGGAGTCTGTATCTCGGTAATCTAATCATCTGCTAAGAGCATCTGCTTGTTCGTTCTCTGAGCCTTTGCAGTATATAATTTTGAAGTTGAATTGTAAGAGGAATTCTGCTCATCTAACTTATTGCTTATTCAAGACTTTGATTGTTATGAATATAGTTAGATTCTTATAATCTGAGTGAACTATGATCGGGTGCTGTACGCTAATAAGATAATGTTGCTATTCTTTAAAAGCTTTCACTATTGCTATAAGCTTCTGATCAGGGATTCTGTAGTTGATTTCTGATTTGTTTAGCTTCTTTGAAAAGTTGCTTATAATTCTTAAATATTCTTAGTTATCTTGCTGACTAAGTTGTTCTCCGAGTGTATATTCCGATGCATCGGTCTTAATTTCAAAGGGTTTGTAGAGATCTGCTTCATACAGAATCAGCTCTGAGATAATATGTGTTAGGGCTTGTATGCGCACAAAGGAAATAGGTGGCCCTTGCGACCCCTGGTAGCGGTTCAGGGCTGCTGCGAGAGCTTCGCTCCGAAGCAGCGCTCTCGTACGATGCTGCGTAGCCATTAAGCCATTGTCATCCCATCTAGTTCAAGCCAATTGTGTACATAAGGGAAAGGGGAACAACAGGTTCAGTAGCGAAAAAGAGGAGGAGGGAGATAGGTTCAGTAGTTCCTTTGAATGAAAGCGTCAACAGAGCGGCTTGAGAGCAGCTCACACCCCTTCACCTCACTTGTGTGCTCTTTTTACCCTGACAATATGCTTAATAATCTCATCAAAAGCTTCTTATATCTTGGAAATCTATTCGAAGGGCTGATCCTTCTTGGTGAGATTCGTAAGAAGATGTGCAATCCAGCTATAGTTCTTAATAAACTGCTTGTAGAAGTTAATGTATCCAAGGAAAAACCTAACATCCCTAACATTCCTGAGAATTAGCTAATTCCTAACAGCTTCTATCTTATCTTTCTGTAGCTTGATACATCTCAGCTTGATTATGAATCCGAGATAGTCAACTTTTTGTATGTAAAAGTAACTTTTTGCAGATTCCATAAGGAGTTTTGCATTCTGAAGCGTCTGCAATACTGTTTTCACATATTCCTTGTATTCTTCTAGTATTCAAGAGAAAATAAGAATGTTATCAAGGTATGCAATAATGAACTGATTTAGATGCTTGTATAGGATATGATTAATTATTTCCTAGAATGAAGCTGGGATATTTATTAAACTGAAGAGCATAATTAGATACTTGTAATATTCATAGTATATTCTGAAAACAGTTTTCCATTCTTCTTCTTTCTTTATTCTGATTAGATTATAAGCTTTTTTTAGATTCAGAATTATAAATCACTATGCTTCTTGCAGCTTATCTCATAATTCTTTGATAAATAGTAACAGATATTGATTCTTAATTATAATATTATTGAATTGCTTATAATCAATATATAGCCTAAGCTTGCTATTCTTCTTGAATATAAATAGAATAGAATATTCTGCTAATAATCGCAATAATCGTATATATTTCTTTTTAAGATTCTTATTGAGATATTCTCTGAGTACTTTTAGTTATACTTCATCTAGTCTGTAGATAGGGAAGAATTTGAGCTGTTTCTCTTTTTGTAGTGGGATCTTGTAGTTGTATGAGCTGTATTCTAGCAACTCTGTATTCAATTCTTTCTGGAATAATTTCTTGAATTTGTAATATTCTTGTAGTATGTTTGCAAGTATTAGTTCTGATTTATGTGCTGTTTCTGCTATCTGGAGGAACAGTAGGTACTATTGAGCATACTTCTTCTCGTTTGTTGTTTTTGGTGACGTTTTTGAAAGCTTTGAGCGTTCGCTCCGGGCTGAACCGAGCGCTCGAGGGCCTGGTTTCGAGGTTCTTCTTGTGTGAACTCACAATCCACTTTCTGAAGCTTTTCCTTATCGCTCCGGAGCGAACCAACTTGCTGAGAGCCTCGCTTCCGTTATTTTGCTAACCTGCTAGCGCCCTAGCACTGTTTGGATTCGCCTGTTGCTAGATCCTTCTCCTTGAACTGCCAGTTCTGCTGACTTAAAGGTATGTGTGAAGTTGTCCGAAGCTTCTTTTCCCGAGTGTTCTTTGATAACTAGCTTCGATCCTGCGCTGTTGATTGCAACTATCTCCCTGAATATAGCTTGCTTCCATGAGATCTGGCCAGTAGTCCAATCAATTCGAGGATTATGCTCTTTGAGCTATGAAAATTCTATAATCAGCTCATGCTGTGCTGTATCCATGATATCAAAAGAAATCCTGATTATATATTCTTAGATCAAGATAGATAGATGATTAGTCTTCTTATTAATTACTCCTTGGTTATATATAACAGATTATTCTTTCATAATACTAAGGATATAGGAATGCTTCTTTCATTTCCATTGTAGTTATGCCTGATTGATAATATATAGAAATATAAAGTTTCCCTAAGCATTATTATTTAATAGTACGCTGTATCTGTATTCTTAAATATATATATTAAACTTAATATGAGCATATTCTGTTCTAGAAGCTTTATATAGGAACTGTTTCAGTCTAATCGTCTGCAGTCTCTTTACAAGCGATCTTAGTCTTTTGGGATTATTAAGAACTATTTGTCCTTCTGAGCCTGCTTTGCTGCTTCTCGAGCAAGCTTCTTAGCTTGTTTCTATTTGTATTATTGTTATTCCTAGTCTTTCTTCTGTTAATGCTAGTTACGAACTTTATTATTAATATAAATCGTACAGAGCATTATCTTACACTGCTACTACTTTATTTTCTTATTTATGCATTGTATAGAACAGTTATCTAGTAGCTCGATATATGCATTGTGATATTATCTGTTGAGAATCTCTCTGAAGCGGAGCTTCTGTTCTTCAACAGCCTGAAGGATTTGTTCTGATTCTCTGCTGGAGAACTATTCGTATTGTACTTTTTCCGAGAAATGCATTCTGCAGCTATAATAGATGCAGGAAATCCATGCTAGTTCGTAGTATAGATTATGAAGTAAGCTGATTCAAGAGTTCTTATCTTGTTATACTTTGATATCTTGCAAGGAAATGCAGGTAAAGAGCTCTTCTAGCTCTATCCTATAGATAAGATATTTAATTCATATTATTTCCTTGTTCTACCCAATGCTGAAGGAAACTCTTTCTATAAGCTCTTTGAGTTTATTGTTTACGAGGAATTCTAGCGAACTGCTGAATCGTTTGTTCTAGCTTGATTCTTTTATTGCTTGAAAAGCTTTTTCAGTGTTATTTAAGTATTTGTACTAATAGCTAAGAGGGTATCATTCCTTATTCACATCCTTAGTTATAGTACTTGGCGTAAGCAACAAGGAATGGTGAAGAGTATTGTTGCTAAGCCCTTTCTCCAACGCTTGAATACTTTGTTCAGTAATGCTAGAGCAGTTCGAGTTATTGCTGCTCATGATTATGCTGAGCGTATACTCTCGCTCTCCTATCGCTATCTGCCTATAGCGCTTAGATTTCTGAGGAAACTATTCTGAGCCTTCCTTGCTCGAAAAGTATGTTAAGCAGTTATTGTTATAGCAGAATGTTCAGCTGAGACTTCCGTAATTAATAGAATCTGATACTTGCTTCGAGAGAATATTTTTGCTTAATTGATTAGATTTCTATTATCGAGCAATATTCATCTAGTATTCTTTCTGAATCAGTTGCTATTTATTCTTTCGGAATTGATAGCAATTATATGCTATATATCCCTATTTATTGCAGTTATAGCAAATAATGCTATTCCTCTTGCTATACTGCTTGTTAGCAGCATTAAGCTTCATAAGACTAGCATGCATAATGCTGCTCTGAGCTGTACTGCTCTATTAACTGCTATTCTTGTATTGGAATTTCTTGCTTGTATTAGCTGAAAATCTCCAAGTCTAGCTTTCTCCCTTTTTGAACTTCTTTATTCATTATTCATACAGATAATTATTAATGCAGATTGCTTGATTAAAGAATATTGCAAAGTTCTCTAGCTAATTCTGCTTGGAAATCTCATTCTTAATATTATTCTTAAGTTCCTTATAATAGTATTCTATAAGATTTTTATCTTCTTATAGAAGTTTTGCTAAAAGCTGTTTAAATCTAATTATATAAATAGAAGCTAATTTGATCTGCTTAAGATTTATAAGCTACTAAGCTGTAATGCATTCTTTATTGAGATTGCTAAAGATTTTCTTAAGAGCTTTTTCGAAGCTTTCAAAGAAGTTGAACATATCCTTAGTATCCTGGATATGCGCATCGGGATTATTCTGATGCTCCAAGTAGTTGTATAGAGAAAGCTTATATTAGATAAGAATATTCTTTTCGAAACGAATCTTTGCAAGAATAATCTTTTCAGATTCCATAGTAAACTGAGTTGCATAATGCAGAAAGTATGCTCTGCAGTAGATAAGGAATCTATATAGCATCTTCTGATTGCTATTATACATAGCAAGCTTGTTCATCTTGTACGCTTTTCTAGCACTACTGGTGACTGTAGAAGTGAACTGTGCCTGCTGAGCTTGTTGAGCTAGCTGAGCCTGCTGGTTAGCAATGGTGGCGCTCTAGGCCTGCTGTTGGTTGCGCAGGTCCTGGATACGCTGAATGAGCTGATATATCTGATTAATCAGTTCTTCCTGAGTAGAGGCACGCAAGGATGAAGGGATTCCTGGAGAAGCTATTGTATTCCGTATTGCTCAAGGGGATAATACTGAACTGTTCTTGAACAAGAGTTGTTAAAATGTAATAAGCACTGCAGCAATCCGAAGATTCCTAAGTATACAAAGAGTTTATGCTAACAAGAGCGGTGCCAAGTATAGGCCTTGAATACGGAAATACAACTGTAGTAACTGTGCAAGTATTCACTGCTTTTGGGGCTATCAGAGTAAGAAAGTAATCTGATATTTAGATTAACAACTGAAGAGCTATGTACTGAATCTGTCTAATGGTAATGAACGTGTTCTTATATATTCAGCTCTTCAGTATGGATATGTTAGATAGCAACATATTCAAGCTATCCTGCTAGCTCTGGATAGCACATATCCGAAGCTATCCTTTCTGATTAGTCGTGCTGATAACCCTAACCCTGGGTTATGTGATCACTGCTTTGTCAGAACGTTGGGTTCTTAACACCTGGTTCTTGTTGCGTGACCTGTTTTGTAACCTGCATGTTGGATGGGTCATAACAATATAGTTGCTGTATCCTAGCTTATAGGAGAAGGCCTGGTAGTGCAAGCTTGTTATAGCCATCTTCGCATTCCATTCTTTCACATTTTGTACAATCTCTCTATAATTAAGATAAAGAGCTTACTTCCAGTCTGAACAGCTACTAGATAATTGGTAGAAATCAATAGATTTCAGGATTTAAAAGCGAAATAGTTTGATTGTATAAAGCAGAGCTGCATTCGAATCATTATTTAGCAGCATAGTTGGAATATTCTCGAAATCTCAATCCTGATTAGCTTCAGCACTTCTGAGCTAATTATTCAGATAGTGCTTGCTTGCATAAGCTAGTAGGATATCGCCGGATTTGTACATAGCGATATAAAATCCTTTTTCAGTCTTTATATCAAGCTAAGATAGAATATAAGCTGAAGTTGCTATATTAACTGAAAGAAGAACTTATAAGCGCTTCTATCTAGCTTTATATCTAAGCAGATCCTGCTTATTAAGAATATCAGAAGAGCTAGATAGATAAGCTATTAATAAAATACAAAGATATCTTATCAAGAATACATTTTATTGATTATACTGAGCATAATGATAAAAAGCAGCTATAGCATGCTATAAATTAATATCTTAAGAAACTTCTGCATCTAAGAATCTAATCAGATCATAGATATTGAGAAAATATCTGAAAGGATTAGTGCTAAAGATTGTAAGCAAGTATAACTTGCAAGGAAATAACTCTAGAAAGTACTTCTCAATGAGTTCTGCTGCTAGATGATTTTCTTCATCCCTTAAACTGAAATAAAGCGGATAACTCTTGATTACTTCAGTTGAATATAGCGCTCTGGGAAAAACAGTTCGAAAGCAGTAAGTTTTAATTATTCAGTTTTCTCAGCTATGCTGAATAGATGGGAATAGAGAGTACTTGAATTTGGCTATTACTGCTAAGTTGAAAGAAAAGTAAAAAGAGAAGAACAGCTTTATTGGAAGATAAGCAATTGTAAGAAGGATTTGCAAAGATATAAAGTTAAGGAACTGAGAGAGTATTGACTGAAGAAGAAAGATAGAGAAGAATGTAGCTTCAGCTAAAGGATCTATTGAAAAAGATAATGTTATATAAGCAGAGCAGTTGATAATTTGCTCTGATGTTAGTATACAGATTTGGAGCAGCGTTGATAAGGAAGAAAAAGGATGTATATATGCTCGAGAAAGATGATTGTAAAAAGATTAAAGGAGAAGAAAGAATAGCTGGCTGCAAGTATGAATGAAATAGCTGATTTATCTTATCTAGCAACTATTTAAGTAATTCACTGCTTTTCGTTTATTATAAAGCAAACAGCTTTATTCTTAGCTAAATAGAAGCTATTTAGTAACAAACTGAATAAAAGATATAATAACTCAGTTGAATGTATTTATTATTCATTACTATCTTATCAATCTTCAGCAAACTGTTCAACAATCTCTCTCTCAGTTTATTTTGCTTTTTAATTTATTCTTTGCATAACAACTTCTTCTTCTATCAATCTTCCCTTGTTTAGCTCTGCAATATACTTAAAATGTTTCGAATTATTATTAATGCTATTTTCTCTTTGCAGATAAATACTGCTTTTCAAGAGATTAATAAGGTCTGAATCTAGTTTTCTTCTTCGATTCCTTCTCTTTAGAGCAGCAACTATTATTAGCTCAAGAATATTCATATTAACTTTCTTAATATTACAGACTTTAATACTATCAAGAAAAACCTTAGCTTGATATATACTTCTTGAAATATTCAAAGCGATATTATGTTTTGAAACAACTTACTGCTAAGCTCTAGCTTTGCTGCTCATTTCGCAAGACTGAATAATAAGAATTCTATTAAGCTAAATCCTATTATAGTATATAAAGCTGGTTAGAAGCTCTTTAACAAGTATCTTATCTGCATCTTCTCCTGCTCTAAGCAAGTAAATTCCCTTCTTATTCAGTTCTATAATTAGCATAATCTAGTTCCTTGCAATTGCTGCTCTCATTAATATGCTACTGCTTGCATACTTATATAGGAGCAGCAGATTAATATTAACTAGCTTTTTCTAGAATGCATTTCAATAAAGAGCTTCTTCAATGAGAAATGCAGCAACTGCATTTATTATATAGAATCTAGATATAATTATACTAAAAACTTCTCTTGTATCAAAGAGCGCAGTATATGAATAAGATTTCTATTCTAATGTTTTTAACTAGGTTTGAGTATATACTAATTATTATTCTTCTTGCAGTATTAATACTTGTTTTATCAACTCAGCTTTCAATGTATAATTGAGATAGATTCTCAAGTTAACTCTAATGCTAATATTAAGCATATTATTAAAGCTTAATATAAGCTTATACGGAATAAAGATATTATATATAATTAGATTAAATGAATTCTTCTTATACTAATGTAATGAGCACTGCAGCAATCCGAAGATTCCTAAGTATACGAAGGGGTTTATGCTAACAAGAGCGATGTTAAAGTGTCAAGTCCTTGAATACGGAACCGTACAAGTCTTAATAAGCGATGCAAGTGTTCACTGCCTTTGGAGCTACTCAGTGTATGAGACTGAATACTTAGATTGACAACTGAAGAGCTATGTATCATGATCTATCCAGTTGGTAATGAACGTGTTCTTTTATATTCAGCTCTTTATTGTATTGGTAGTGTTGGTTTTGTTGGATCATTTGGATTACTTGGGTGATCCAACTGATCCGGATTATCATGGATCAGCTACTGATCCATTCTGATTCTGTAATTCTAACTCTTGCTTATATAATTCTGTGTGGTTATCCGATGTTGGGTTATAATATCTGGTTCCTTGTTAGCGGGGCCTGTTTCGTAATCTGCATGTTGAATGGGTTATAATATCATCTTCCTTCTATCAGTTATTGTTTCCAACGATCTTCTGTAAGTATCCTAGCAAGTCTTTCGTATGCATAATCTTGCCTTTCTAATTGAGATGTTGAATAGAATTAACAAATCTTGTACCTTCACTCATTCAGTGAAGACTCAAGAGTGCTATTATCTTGCTGAGCTTATTTCTGTTTTTAGCATTAAAATGCCTGCTTGTGCTCACTGTTGGAAAACGGGAGCTTTCTGCTGCTTTGCTGAAAATTCTTCTTGTTATGGGAAGTGTATTTCTCTGAGTCAAAGTTGTGATACTAGCTGTTTTTCGGCTTCTGCTGGTTAGTCTTTTATTCCTGAATGCTTTTCGTGGTTACTGACTTCCTTTTTCAGCGGAATGCTTGATTCGTGAAAAGCGCAAGGTTTTGAATGAGAAGGCTGAGGCAGAGTTAGCAAACGCTGCTGCCTTGCAAGCCTTACTGGCATTGCAAGCTTGCCTTGATCGCGTGCGGAAATAGCGAAGGTTGCTGGAGGAGCGGGCTGTGGAAATGATTCGTCGTGGTTTCAATTCCTTGGAGGGTTTTGCTGATGAGGAGGATTGCAGTCTTCGTGAAGAGGAAACTCGCTTGATATTCCAAGGACATCTTGAGGTTATTGACTGGAATTTCTTAGCCCTTGATCCTAGCGTGTCTGGTTGGCCTTCCCTTTTGGAGAGCGAGATTCCCGAAGCTTCTGAGTTTCGGTCCGGGGCGGAGCGATCATCCTAGATGCTGGCTTCCTTCCTTTTCCAATACTCAGCTACCTTTTTCTGAGCATTTTTAATGTTTTTCTGTAGTTCCTATGAATTTTCGCTTGCTGGATAACTTTTCTACTTAATGAGGTATTTCTTTGTATTATCTGTGCCTCTGTGCTTGAGAATCTTCTCTACCTTATATTCTGATTCATTGTTTTCCACTTCTGCTATATTATCTATTGGTATTTTCTGTGCTGCTAGCTCCAGCAATAAGATGTAAAATACTGGATATACTCTTATTCTATGCAGTAATGCTAACTTGTAGTTAATCGGGGAGATTTGTTGTAAGATTTTGAATGATTCCAACTTCTTATAATCAAGTTTGTTGCTGAATTTAGTTGTTTTAATGTTTTTCCGAAGTAAGTAGATCTTATCTCCCTTCTGCAGGATTGATTCTTCAATCCTTTTGGAGTTTGCATATTGTACTATTTGTTCCTGTACGAATTGTAATTCTGATTGGAGTTCTTTCTAAACTTTCTTAATCTTCTTAATTCTTTTATTTGCAGCTTCTGCATCTGCTTCTAGCAGTACTTTGTAATAAGCTGTTGGATTATATCTATAGAGTATAAAGAATAGTAATTTCTTTGTTATGCTTGTATTTGCGCTATTATAAGCGAATTGTATAAGAAGCAATAAATCAATCTAGTTATTCTATTCCTGATTAATATAGTATTGAAGATACTATTTAATAATCTGATTCATTCTTTCTATCTATTTAT